CTTCTTACAGGTGCTATTTTTACTAACAAAAGGCTCAGAAAACATTACGAAAGCTCATCTCAAAAAGTAAATGATGCAAGAAAGATGGGATTCAGAAGAAGCCCATCTCAATCTTCATCCGGGAAGATTCTAATACAAAATTTGAAAGAATAATAGACTATTTTACTTGCCCAATTAACCTTTAACCACAAAAATATTAATTAATTAAAATTATTAATATTAATTAAAAATTAAATAAAAGCGTCAAATATTGTTGTTGAAAGGCTGCCTTTGAAGTAGATGCTCTCTATTTTATGTATACGACTGTTCTGTTTTGAAAGAAAAGTAAACAAATTTCTCTCACAGGTCACTGACAAGTATAAGTCTAAATCTGAATTTTTAAAATCGATTTTTGTATTAAAAGAGACAGAGATTTTATGAGATTTATTATTGTCAACGAACATAATGTAATTGTTAACAAATTTAGAGTATTGGCATACAGCGTCTCAGTTTTATTATGCTGCAAGGTATTTACAGAGTATCTCTTGGTATCTCTTGGGCGTACAGGGAGCCAACACTTTTGGCTTGAACTTAAAATAGAAAATGTAAAATTCAATTAATGCTAAGTAGACTAAACAGCCTGAGCTGCACAGAGGTCTTGCCGCGTAGTTGGCTGTTATCAAAAGTCACCGGCGTAGACTAACAGGCACATAATTAGCACGGCTGTAAATTGGCAAGCTTTAACTCGTAGCCACAACGTGGCCGAAAAGACAGAACACGCTCTCTTTCGCTAGCTCTCTTACTCTAGCTCTCTAACTGAAGTACTTCAGACCTCAGCTTAGATACTAGTTTTCTGCCTATTTCGCATAAAGCGTGAAACTGAAAACTGATTCTGGTAGGAAAGCATAGATAAAGAAAATCTCTAGTCCTTGATTTCAAAAGACTTTAAACAATTGTAAAGTTATTCGTAACCATATTTTTTGGTAATAAAAGCAAGTAAAATGCGCTTTGGGGAGCATGGAATAAGACTACAATAAGACTCCTCAGACTATTTTAATCGGGATTTGAGCGAGAAATGTGATATCTTCATCTATAATCACTCATGTAGGAAATAAAAACAATTATAGGAAAGGTGAAACCTTAATGAGATACTGGCGACAAACTGAAGTCCAAAACATGAGATAAAAATTTGAAAAAAGGTTGCACGTTTTTACTTCATCTAGTAATATTAATTAGGCCCAAACTTCTAAACAGACGTAAAACGAATCATCGCTACATCTGAATTGTTCGTGAGAAGTTTTATATAATCTTTTTATTTATTTATTTAAACAAAATTCAGAATATAAATGTATTCTCTTGAGCAACAATATCAGGCACAACTCGTAGTGATGCAACTGAGCAGAACAATTTAAGTTAAACGTGGAACAGTTGTCAAAGCTACACAATTAAATACTACTATAAGATGGATCAGTACTCTACCAGAACAATAAAACCAAGGTTTCAGAAGCGATAGAAAGCAAAGCAGAATAATTACAACTATCAGAGCTGGCAGGAAATTAAAACGTAACGTGTATGCGAACCAGAAACATGCATTGAGGTATGGTTATACAGACTACAGATAATGTGATTATTTTAGTGTCTGTAACAAATATTTGCTGTAACATTAAAATCGCTCAACACTGGTAGTTTAAACTTTTTCAAGATAGAAAGTGAAAATACCCAAATTAAAATGATAAAAATAAGGGGCTAATTAAATTCAGAAGTCTGCTCTAGGAATAAAGCTGTCTTAAAAATAAAAATAACTATTAGTAAAATAAAGTATAAACTTTTATTAAAGTAAAAATAACTATTAGTAAAAATAAAACTACAGTGTATTTAATCGTATATAATGCTATTTATTTATATCTATATTAAGTAGTTCTGCTGTATTTTTATTAATACGTTAGAGAGCTAATTATTTAGATGATCAAGTTTAGGGCCTATGGTGTTTTTGATCTACGGTGGGGCATGAAAATAAACCATAATTTATTGATACTAAAATGCGTTTGAATCTACTAGATTTTATAACTTTCATAGCATGAGAGCAATTTTTTTCATATCCTTTATCACCAGGTAAATGTTGAAAATATATCGTATCTATGATTGCCAATAGTCCGTTTTTAGAGAGGACTTTGCTCTAATCAGCATTCAATCACCTTGTCAGTTTTTGAGTTCAAAAGAAATGACAAACGTCCTTTATTTCCAAACTAAAAATCTCTTAAGTTCGCATTCTTTAAGCAAACCAATTGGTTTTTCTAAATAACTATTCAACCCGCTTTTAATTGATGATAATTCTATAGAAATCACACGGATTACCGAAATATATTCATTTTTCTAGCGAAATTTAATGTCGATATTCAGTTTAGACGTTGAAGAACTGGATAGGAAAAAAACTATGGTTTAGATATTTTTAAAGTTTTGACCAACTTAAGAAACAAGCTTAAATCTCGATGCGATGAGGAATTTTTGGGCTCTCAAGCTCGTCAACATAGTGAAATTAAACAATGCAGAATCTCAAAGATTTTTAAAGACTAAATTATTACTTTCTTCAAATACTTATTTAGAGCACTTTAATGAAAATTCTATGTTTGTCAAATCGTCAATTCTAGGTCTGTTAAATATCTCGTTTTCAGCGCAACAGAAATTTTTTAAAGTTACCTAAGATTCGATCCTAAAAGAAAAGTTGGATTATCAGTTACCGTTTTGACGAAGTAACATTAATTCAAGAAAATTTACAAGAATCCAAAACATGAAGTAGCAAGTTACACTTGACTAAAAAAAATGCTGACTATAAATATATGAATATATTAAAAATACTTCCGTATGTGTTTTCATTTCTGCAACATCAGCATACTTAAAAGAATTTTTAATGTCTTGTCAACTAAATGGAGAAATGAACGGAATAGGTGCTCGGATGAATTTATAAAAAATTTATTATTCATACCGTATTTCCTCCGATATTCACCCCCTCCATTTTTTTTAACTTATTATATCGTCCGAAAATCAAGAGGGAAAAATTATGCGAGTAATTTTATTTCCAAAAAACGCGGTTACAGTAAGAACCTAAGAAATGAAAAGCAATCATAGATAAACACAATATTATTTCTTTAAAAGAAACTTAAAATACATAGTAATATTAACATTGCACTGTATGATGATATTTGAGCCAGTTTCACGTATCCGTCTCAATTACCTTTTACAGCCCCAGGGCACCTCATATGAATGCGTCTTAACCATAGTTCCGAAGACAAACGTCGGAGGAAAAAGAAGAAGGGCGCGAATAAATGACCTGGATTTCGAAAGAACGAAAGCGTCAGCAATAGATAAGGCTACGATGAGCTGGAACGTAAGCAATAGAAGTAAGGTGAAATAACACATTTTGAAAGTTTCTTAAGTGTAAGAATATCGGCAACGTCAGATTAGCTTAACAAAGAATCTACACACAATACTTTTCAAATAGTAAATGCAAGGGAAAATAAAATGAATGAAATGCTAATACAAAAATGCAAATACAAATTGAATAAATACACTGAATAAAAATAAAAGTAATCGAATGAACAAAATTTACCGATAAACTAGTACTCAGAGGGAAGCCTATGCATAATACAAAAAGAGAAATGCGAATATTTTTAAAATTTCAGAATTTAACAAACACTAAAAGGTTAAGGAGAAAAATACGGGAGGAAATACTGCATATTTTCATTTAAACGAACGTTGTGCAGAATTTGCTGAAAAAATAAGAAGTGCTGCATATTTTTCACGTCTCAAAAATATCAGAATAAATATAATTAACTATATTTTAAAATTAAATGTTTACTTTAGTTTTGAAAGTTTCAAATATACCTTTATAAGTTTTTATGCCTTATAAATTAGCCTTTTTATTGAATTCTAATGAGTGTTTTAATAATGCCTCTTTTGCTTTAATAAATGAATATATTATTACTTAATTTACTAAAATAAAACTTTTCATTAATCTGTTGTCGAAAACTTGGTACGTTTTTCGCGTCAACATTAATTTTACCAACAACTACAGCACTAAAATGAACTAATATATATTATATATCTTAATGTTGGACGAAAGGAAGAGTTGGTAACCCTAATCATATCACACTCATTCTCTGGTTTTTCATTGATTACTGAAATATAAAAAATTGTCCATTTCGATAATCTTATAAATAGAAAAAAAAAAAACAAAAATATAAAACTATGCAGTTGTAGAAGACTTAATTTCATGTTATGCAGCATGGATCAAAATGGCAAAAGCGATTACAAGCATTAATATTTACAGAAAGCATTAACACAAAATACGTTTTATTTGTAATAGTAACTAAGATTTTTTTACCCGAGTCCAATATCGGCATCATTTTCAAAATAACTTTCGACTTTTCCGCACAGAAAAAGCACCCACCGGTTAGTTACTTGGAAATCCACGTTGTTTGTTCACTGCAAATATTATCTTTCACATCAACCAAGCTCAGGGAAAAGGCAGTTCTTAAACTCCAGAAAGAAAAAAAGTTGCGGTATTAAGGGATTATTTAATCTCATCAAGAAATCATTCAGCCTATCACCTATCAAGAAGTTGGGTGTAATGCTAAAACGGATTATGAGGAAATTTTTATCATACTGAAAGACAAAGCTGGATCTCTTATTCAGAAGTGATGACAACAGCCGTAGTTCCAGCATGCCATAACAGTATATAACTTTGATCATAGTTTTACCATTAAACATGAAATATTCATAAATTTTTTCACTTCTATCAGGGCCCTAAACTCGGGTATTCTTTTCAAAATACTATATTATTTCAAGTCTGTATAGTTAACAGCTTGCCTGTATCACTTTGATTCACCCTGTGTTTCATGCTATAAGAATGATTTTTGAGGCTAAAAATAGTAATTTTGTACTTAATGTTACTGGTAGCACAGCAGCTGATGCCCACTATGGCAGCTCATAAAGGAAATAAACATACATTTAAAAAAGGATACAGCTATGTTCTGCGATAAACGAAGAGTCTTTGTTATCACTACAAGAGATGGACACAAGCTGCAAGAAAATCGACACAAAATTGATTAGAAGTTTCAAAATTATTTTTAAATGAAATAAAGAATTTTGAAACAACTATGCAAGAGAAAAAACTAAAATCAAAAATTAGAAAACCTTTCAGTGTTATATGAAAGATACTAATGTCATGCAAAACTGTAATTAGCATAATACAATAATACATTTACATCCAAAAGTTAAGCACGTGAAGGTAAAATCAACAAAAATGGAAAGGTAAAGTTATTAAAACCAATGACATGCATCATTGGCTTTCACTGTGTTTGGTCATAAGAGAAAAGAAGAATTTAAAAACAATTTTAAAATCATAAAAAATTATGTTTAAATTTAAACAAATAAAACTGGTGACCACCCCGGCCTTTACACAAACTTTACAGCAGTTGACCATGCTTTCAGTGAGGAGATTAAATGCTACAACTACTAGCAATACTGAATCCTCCATTAGAGCAGTTTCCACTTGCCTGAGACTAGTTGGCAAGGGTAAACGCATAAAAACAGCCCCATCGAGGGCATGTCAAAGATTTCTAAAAGGTATACGGCGGCCACTTCGTACGAGAAATGCCTTCGCACTTCAGTTACTCGTTAACAATGTTGGCTCGACGGGGACGGGCATTATCCTCCATAAGGAAAGAAACCAGCTGTAACTGTTTCAGCGTATATTCTCCCAACGGGGTGTAGGACTTCATCCCGAGACTCCACAGCCGTGTCAGAACTATCTTTAAACATGTGAAACTAGGTGCGACATCTCACTGAAATTTCAGCCTCCACCATGATGCTGCTGCTTTTGAATGCGGGATGTTCTGGGCTTAATTCCGTATTCTCTCCAGACCCTTTTACACATTTAGCTTTTGATTCGAGTGCGAATGTGGATTTGTCCGTGAATAGGGCGATGTCCCATTCTAAGAAAGTCCGATTGAAATTTTGATGAATCCACCACTTTAATTTTGCTTTTATGAATTGGATGCTTAGTGGAACATAAACATGTGGTACTCAGGCGTGCAATCCATTCATGTGAAATATTCAATGAACAGTACTGACAGATATTGTCTTACTAAGTAACGCTGTATTAACAGTTGGAGGTCGTTCGTCGATTCCGTTTGGCTACTGTAGTAATATACCGATCTTCAGAAGGAGTGCTAATCCTTGGTCAACTGGAGACAGGTCTTCGAACAACTGTTTGACTTGTATGGAACTGTTTCCCTATTTGAGAAATTACCCAATGATCAATGTCAAGGAAGGGAGAAACATCTTTGATTGACTGTCCTGCTTCAATGCTTCTTACAGCATGCCATGGGTCACTATCTGCCATTCGTCTTTTCACAGACATAGAAACACGAATGTAATCAAAAATTATCCTACGAAAGTTACAAACAATTCAAATTAGCATTAAAATCAACTTTCAGAATGCTGGCAGCTATAGCGACCGACGTTAGCGAATATACCGTTCTGCAACTGACTGTAATATACTTCTGTATACCATCTGTAATATACACTCATGTCCATAAATTAAGGATAATTCGGAATCACGCGGAAATCGAACTCTAAAATAAATATATCACCTGTAAAATCACTACACACATCTTCAAGAATCATATGCAAATTTCAGGCAGTAAACAGATCACAGCGATAGTACGTCACAATGACGAGAGTGTAAGAACTGATATATAAGGAATACAGGCAAAGAAGTAAAATTCTTCGCAGGTGCTTTATAAGCATTTCAGTGCAACAACCGAATAGTTATGACACAAAGGACGCATTTGGATGATTTTTTACGTGGTAGAATTATCGGCCGTCTGGAATGTGGGCGTACCCAACTGGAAGTATCAGTCGAACTCGGAATTACACAGTGTCATCTCCAGGCTTTGGCAACGATTCCAAGATGATAGAAATGTGAGTAGACGTTACAGCACAGGTCGCCCCAGAGTCACAACGCCGAATGAGGACCGGTATTTGGCAGTTACTGCCAAAAGAAACAGGCGGAGTACAGCCTCAGACCTGTCTCGTCAGCTCTCTTCAGCCACTAGTACGACAATTTCAAGGCAGACCGTGTACAGACGCTTAGGGCAGATTGGTCTATATGCTCGTAGACCTGTCAGATGCGTTCCACTTACTGCAACTCACTGTCGCTTGCGGTTAGCCCGGAGTAGAGAGCATGCATTGTGGACACCGCAACAATGGGCTTGTGTGATGTTTTCCGATGCAAGTCCAGGTTTAGCTTGCAGTTATGATTGTCGCCGGACTTTCATATGGAGCGCTCCAGGTATCCCGTTACCTTCCAAGAAAACATCATTGAACGACACCGTTACGGTGGTGCAGGAGTGCTCGTTTGGGGTGGAATTATTCTGGGTTCCAGAATTGACCTGCATGTTTAAATTGGATCCATGACAAGCCAAATCTATCGGGACATCATTCTGGAACAAACATGTACGTTTGTTTCGGGGCGCGCCATGGGCGCACAATTTGTGTTTATGGATGACAACGCACGTCCTCACCGTGCAAAGCATCGTAAGCGAAATGCCTTCAATTTGGAGGATATCACCCGTATGGACTGGCCAGCATTCTCACCGCACTTAAATCCAGTAGAGTACGTGTGGGACATGCTTGGCCGACGAGTAGCAGCCCGTCAACCACCTCCTACATGTCTACCGGAACTTCGGAGAGCATTGCTTTTTGAGTGGTGTAATATCCCTCAAGATCAGATCGATAATTTGATACTCAGCATGCCTAGGCGTTGTACGGACTATATTGCATCGTCTGGGAGACATACAATGTATTAACAATCATACCAACTGTGGTTGTGTGGTGTATTTAATTACGGCAAAGCACACTGGGGCTATCTGCCAAAGGGGAGGGATGCCTTTCGTGGAGGACTTTCTAAGGGAAACTGGCTCGTATACACGTTACACATGGGGAAAACCACGAAAACACCCATGCAGCCAGCCCGTTCGCGGGATTCGAAACTCGGACCGAACTACCAGTGTTCAGCGACTTTACCGCTCGGCCGCTGGTGGGCTCATACCAACTATGTAAAATTGTTTTTTTGCAAATATGTTTTTTTTTTTTTTAAATTTGCTCCAGGGAGAAAAAAATTGCTAATTTTTTTAATAATATCAAGCATATAGCATCTTTTTTTTTTTTTTTTTTTTTTTTTTTTTTTTGCTCTTTACCTTTTGTTTAATAAATAAGCTTTACAATTAAGTCAAATTTGGTTTGCTTCTAACTCTTCCTTTGCCTGATTTTGCATTATCCTTAATTTATGGACATGAGTGTACTTCAGGTCTTCAAATTCAACTACGCTTTCAAACCTGCTAATTTGCATTGCTTGCTTAACTTTTGGACATCAGTGTATTTATTATCCGTAGTTGTTTGAGATGAAAATCCAATAGAAAGCTATAACAAAACTCTATTTAAAGATGATCCCTACGAATGGAACTATTCAAAACTCGAAAGATTTCATGCTAGCAAAGCATGTCATTATTCGAAACACTCCTTTGCACTGCAATGCATTTTCCCCAGCGTTCTGAGAGCTTCCGTCCTCAAAAAAGTGTTTAGTTGCAGACGTATCCACTCTTCAACCATTGTGGTGACACCCTGGAACATAGGGAATGAATCTGGGCTATTTAGAGCATATAGAAACACTTTCCTCTTAATTGTGGGCAACAGATATTGCCCTGCATATTACCTGAGAAGCTTAGTCAAGCAAGAGAAGCTTAGATACTTTTCCGTATTAAAAACTTAACAATCCTTTGTTCCACAGACAGAGACACTTCCTATACGCTCACATTCTCACAAGAGTTGCACACAGCTGAGAAGGTCGAACTCTCACTGAACTGTAAATAACATGTGATATTTCAAATATCCAAAATTATTTCCTGTGCCACAAAATCATTGTCCAAAACATCCAGCAGTCCGGATCATATTTAAATGCCCTCGTATTTTAAAGGCAGTAAACATTTCTGGAAAATATAACACGAAAATGCAAATAACAAATGTTTAAGACAGATTTTTTAAAATTACCATAAATGAAAAAACAGTACTAGTTAAATAAAGTTGATTACGTGTGCTAAGTAAAGAGATTAGAAAGGCATGTTTTATTTTAGATTGACGTCTCAGAAATTCCTATGTAATCCTCAAACAAACATATTTCTCAAGAAATATGAAAATGACACAATTTTCAGGATGACCGAAAAATTGACTTGAAATTTATTTTATTCGAAATAATACGCGGATGTAATTTTAAAGTTTTAAAAACATTTATTTGATGCCTGAAAGATGCGTTAATTGTCCTACCCTTTAAACACCCGAGTATTATAATGCAAAAAGGAAAAGAATCTTTACAGTTTTTATATTTTTTTTTAAAGGTGAAGAATTTTTTTTTCGAAATGTTTACTGGAACTATTCTATTCAACTAAACTCCGGAACTTCTTTATGCAGCGGGAAGTTCCAATTCAATAATACTGACACTCATCGAGACAATGGGACAAAGCTTTTTTTTTTTCTCTTCTTCTTCATCTGAGCATTCTTTACTCCCTTGTGTACATAACCTTCCCAAGAATTCTTCCATGTCATTTATCAAAAACAAGAGATGAAGCAATAAACATGATTATTTCACTACGTTGTGGACAGCCACAAAGATTTCTCCTTTCCGAAACAACAATAAAAGGAATTGCAAAACACGTAATGGAAGTTCTTCATCCATTGGTCAATCACAATACATAAGTTACGACGTTAAAATGATACTTACAAATCATCAGCTGTTACTCCGAGTCCAATGAAAAGCATTAAAAGCCAAATCATCTAGAAAAACAAAATGAAAATTTTATTCTAAAAATTAATATTATTTTAGCATTTTGCGTGGTCATTCTGAGCTTCATTAGCTTAAAACATAATCATTACCAATTAAAATAAATAATGAAAATATCTGGCTAGCTAATTAATTTCGATAAAGCACACAAGGAGAAATGCCTATTTAAAGAACTTTCTAAGGGAACTATTTCGTATTCCCTTTACTTACGGATAAAAGTGTGAAAATGCATATGCATTCAGCTTATGTCCTCAACTAGAAATCGAATCGAGACGAAACTGCAATTGTTACTGACGAAACTAGCTAGCTCCGCGACATTAGCTATTCAATTACTGGCGGATCGAACTGTAATTTTTCTCTATTTATTAATCGATTAAACATATTTTAAATAGCATAAAGTAAACATTTTTATGCAACATTTTTCGTTTCATATTCTGCAGATTCATGCAAATTCCAAGTTTGCAAATCATTGCGATTTATGATTAACTCGCTTAATATTGCTTAATTTTGTTAATTAGTTATGAAAAAAGGAACACAAAAAAAAGCTATTCATTAATAAATTATTTGTGGCTTGAATGAAATGGTATGTTTACATTAGTGAAACTTCTAAGATGGTAGCCTTATTTAATGGTAATGTGACCAGATATATCTGTAACGATTTTGGTTTAGCTTCCTCATTGCTTTGTTTTAACTTTAAGAATTCCTCAGAGAGGAAGTGAAAATTATCAGCGTTTACATAAGATTCTGGATAATAAATATTCCAGTATAGAATGACTGACTTCAATAACTATATCATTAAGCAACTCAGTTAACTAACAATGATTCATTTCGAGTGCATCTCCTAAACGAAACGATATATGACTAATTTGAACTACCTATGAACACATATCAATTACACTTTAGCCCGTCAATAACCGAACGGTCGAATCTATTGAATACAGCTAGTTGTATTCCAGATTTTATTTTCTTCCCAACATCGTGATTGCTTGCAGTTTCGGGTCTCGCATTAACGCGAGAGTGGTATACGTAGAAGAAACTGGCTTCCTGTAAGGCTTCTTCAAACATATTTATGATTCTCTCATTGTTAGAAAGACCTCACGCGCTTATCGTTTTTCTTACACGAAATTACTGCTTTTGAACGTACCAAGACATTGAATCCAAAATAAATGTTCAGAGACGAAAGACTCCAACAGATTACGTTTAGCATGCTTTGCTTTCAAAAAAAAAAAAAAAAAAAAAAAAAAGGTTCTGTAAGGGGGAAAAAAAAAAAAAAAATTGAGGAATAATAGATTTGAGAAAGGCCGAACAAGTACACTTTTTAGCCTTCAAGTAGATTTAATAGTGAAAATGGTACGAGGTCCTAAATGAGATATTGTTTCGTGTTCATGGGTTTTCTTAGTGCACCCAAAAATCTACTCCTTGAGCAAATAATAAATATGCTTTCTAAGGTAACATAATTTAAAAACTGCATTTTCGCCTTATCAAAACAATATAAATAATCTATTTCTTTACTCTGTAATTCTTTCACGTAAAGAAGTAGCTCATGGTTCATTGAGTTCTTGAAGAGAAAGATTAAATTATGAAGTTTTCTTCTTTCAAAGAGCCAGATTGAGAAATTTAGCTTGATTGACTTAGAAAATCGAATTCATTTTTTGAAGTATTTTATTTTTTGAATAAACATTTGCGAATTAACTCATAGACACGAACTGCATCATATACAAGGCGGTCATAAGAATACTTCCCCGATAAATAGTGCCTAGTGTCCCATCTGCTCAATCGAATTGAAATTTCAGATGTTGTTATTTGAATGATTGCGCTCGAGATTGCAATGATTTAGAACAAAGAACTCTCACGGTTACGGTCACAATGTAAACACTTCGAAATTTTCGAATAGTAATACCCATCCCTGCCCCTGCGCAAACTGATCAGTGCATTGAAAAAACATAAATGAAGTTGTAAAGATACACGTATGACGAAAATTACCAGCGTAAAACATTTGCAAAGAACAGCATCGTAAAGGACTAATGACACACAGGACAGGAGAAGGAAAAATTTTTTATTGGAATTCCAAGTTTTTATCGTGTTCACCTTCGCAGAAGATAATGCATTGCATGCGGGAGATTGTTGATAGCAATAACGAACGTAACATCGCAGGAAGAATCTGTATAACTTCACTTTTTATGGTATCTTACAATTCTGACAAATCTTATGGATTTGATGTGAACACCATATTTCAGATAACCCCAGAACCAGAAATTCATCAGAGTGAGGTCGTGGAATGGCCACGAAACTGAAGAGACGACTCTATTTTGAAACTTTGTACACAATGAAATCTTTTAGACGTTTCCCCCTCATCTCCTCTCTTATGTTATCATTGGTCCTTTACAACGCTGCTCTTTGCAAATATATTGAGTCGGCAGTTTTCATCATACGTGTATCGTTCCAACTCCATATCAATTTGCGCAGGAAAAAAGTGGGTGTTGCCATTCAAAAATTTCGAATTGTTTTCGCTGTAACCGTAACCATGAGAGCTCTATTGTTTTACATCATCACATTGTCAAGTGCATACCTTTAAATAATATGAAACTTCGTTTCGTTGGTTGAGCGGAGGGGTCACTAGGGGTTCATATATCGGGGAAGGGGTTTTTATGACTACCCTGTATGCATTTCTTTATTGTATATTGGCTTTCTCTACTTTGCTTGAAATGTGAATCTTCTCTCGATATTTGTTAAAACACTGTGCTTAAGAAACGCCTGAATTTCTTACTGTTCAATTTCATAAGCCATTTTATACTCTGCCTCACAATTAAATAGATTTCTCCCTGTTTCTTCAACTTAATAAACCTTTTGGTCTTTGAGCAAAATCTCTTGAAGAAGTCCGAAAATCACATGAATTACTACATTTATTACAACATTCTGTTTCCTGAAATATTCATATCCATAACTTTGTTTCCCTATCTCCATTACTCTAGCTAATCTCTCATCGAATCAGTTGGAATTTTCGCCTCCAAAGAGCGTAAAATTGGCCAAATAACTACACAGATATCTAACATTATTTAAATCTTTTTTACTATTTGATGAGTCTAGAACATGCAGCAAGGCAGGTAATTGAGTCCAGTGTAGTAAATACTTGCCGTTAAAGCAGAATTAAAGTAGAAAGTTAACAAAATCTTTAATTTTCTAGCTTTGGAGGTTTAAAATTCTAACTTAACAAACTCACATCAGAAAGACAGTTACGCTGAAATTAAAACGTTAGAGTTAAAACTCGAAACATCTGTCTGGTCTCAAAGCACCAAGAGTTGCGCAGCAAAGTTGACGAAGAGGATATACTCTAACTACAATGAAATGAAACAATATAGTTTAAGTTTCCTGTCTTTTGCATAATTTTTTGCATCTTAAATAGAATGATTTATATTAAGTTTATTTTGAAATTAGAGTCAAGCCAGATAATACAAAAAATAGCATATTTCACAAGCAATTTTATAAAATTAAAGAGATTCTTACACAAACTGCTATGCCAACCCCAGAATACTGAGGCTGGAGATAGCAAAATATGAAATACATATAATCCAGCTTGCCGTCGGAATCGTGACATGATGTCGTATTGAGATAGAAACCACACTTATTTGCTGTCTCATGAATGGCAGTACACTGAAAGAAAAGTAAAATATTGTATTAAAAATACTCATATTACATTTATTAGATAACTGCATGAAGAATATCAAAATAATAATTTATTAAAAAACTTTCCGTTATCGTGCATATAATGTAGAATATTAATGACCATGGATTAATTGATAAGTAAGGTCTCTAATCGCAAGGCATCTTTAGTAAATGGTGTAGGAAATTGCTTGTGTTTGCATTCCGCAGCTTCAGCTGTAAGGTGCAAGTGAGCTTCGTTTCATTTCATGGTCTTGAGTAGTTCATGAAGAGCATGGGTTCGTTCAGACACTGGCTTTACTGTCATAAGGGGCATAAGCCAAGCTTCCATGTCAAGACAATCGTGTGAATGTGTCTATGATGGCGGCTTCTAAATTTTTTACACAGAAACACAGTTTTTGTTAATTCCCCCCTTCCGAACACTGGTTAATTAAGTATTCGTGGGAAAGGTGGGCAAGTGCATCAGTCATTTAATCATTTCATCATCGAAAATATTGCTCAGAGTACACCATAGGCGGTAATAGTAGATATTACAACTATCGAATCTACAAGCTTGGTTTCACGCCAGCAGTTAGCCTCCGTTTACCACAATGATGGCGAGATTTTGATGGTAGAAAGTTGCATGATGATTCAAATTCGTAGACTTATATGAAATATAGGAATATTTTGAGGTGATCGCTGTATTAAATGTGAATAATGTCCGCCAGTAAGGTCAGCGCGCGAAAAGCTGTAATAAAGAAGAAATGAGTGGGTTTTGATGATCAAAGCCTGGGATGAACTGTTTCAGTGACATATGACTACACTATTTTAAATCCTACTCTTAGAACCGTAAAGACATGCAAATTCCTTTTCTACGTTAAAAGTACAATAAATGTAAACTCAGATGAAGGGGCTTACCCGCGGCTGAGCGGTAAAAGTCGCTGAACACTAGTAGTTCGGTTTGGGGTTTGAATCCCAGGAAACGGGCTGGCTGCATGAGCCTTTTCGTGGTTTTCCCCATGTGTAACGTGTATACGAGCCAGTTTCTCTTAGAAATTCCTCCACGAAGGCATCTTCCCTTTATGCAGATAGCCCTTGCGTGCTTTGCCGTAATCAACTGAACCTTAATCAGATGAAGGGTTAAAATGAACCTGTTTATTAACATCTGCCAGATGGTTACGCACACTAATATAATAACATAAATTAACCTCCGCTGCTTTCGAGAAAAGCATAACAGACGTTTATTTAGGGAAAAGCATAACAGACGTCTGTTAGCATAACAGATGTTTATTTAGAGGATTTAAACTTAGAATATAAATTAACAAGCTCGTAAATAAACATTGGCTTGGGCCCTAAATATTCAAGAAGCAAAGCAACTAAAACCGATGAATCAATCAAGTAGCAAGGAGGCATGACAGACTGTCTCTCAAAGCCAAGAGTTCTGCCCTTATATACCTTAACTAATTTGCATTCTGGTGGGACTAAAGCAGAGGTAATTTTAAAGTCAGAATACTATGATAACTGAGTAAATTAATATAAAACGTTATAGTGTTTCAACATGTGATTTGGCAAAGTCTGAATTTTAATTGTTTGCAGAAATTCATACTACTTGTTTTTTGATAATGGAATTGAAGCTGTTATTCTCAAGCAGTTCCAAAGCATATCCCAATTTTTGTTCATAATTGGATTTAAAAAAAAATCATACAGTTAGAAGAATGTGTAAGAATAAATGGTGACTATGTTAAGTCAAATACATAATGTTTAACAAAAAGAATTTTGTCTCCATTAAATACCGCTTGAATTACTTTATTTTGACGTAAACTTATTTAATACGTCTGGAGACCTTACTTATACATTAACTTTCTTACGATAAATACAGCTTCGAATGAAGGTGCAGTTTATGTTATATGGAACCAGAGCCGTGTCTACATATTTTTTTACCTGAGGCAAACAGATAAATACGCATTACTGTATAGGCTATAAAATTGTACGGCAATTTGATGATCATAATAATAATAATAACAACAAATGAACAGATAAAAATGGAAAAAAAATAAAAAAAGGAAAAAAATCTATGTTATACAGACTCAAAACGTTCATATTTATACACTTTTATATTCATTAAAGATAACTGTAACAAATCATAATTCCTTAACTCTTGGAATAATATGTAATCATAGCATTATATATTCAGAAAAGATTGAACTGCAATTTTGAAATGAAAAGCAGCAAAAATTTCTTTTTTGATAAATGGCATATAACATTGAAATAATACGAGTATAAATAGTAATGTAACTAATATAAAAAGCATTGCACTACTTTTTCCAGCACTTTTAATATCCTTATTTTTCTTGCTTATCATTAGTAATTAGTAGAAAAATAATTAGTAATATTTCAAAACCTTCTTCATCTCTTAATTCATTTTCCACAGAGAGAATAGCCCTATTTGATAGTTTTCTTAACCAAGTCAAACATCTTATATAATCTTTTATTATTTCAAGTTTGCTGAAACTTTTTGTCACCAAGAGCAACAGTAAATAGCAATGGTAAAAATAATTCTTAGTGTTGATTCCAAATTCCAACAGGATTTAGCTAAACTATAAACGTGAATTACTTTTTAGAAGATTTAAGCTTGTAACCGTTTTAATACCCAGAATTCTTGAAATAGGGAAGTTTTAAAACTACATATTTTCCATATAATATCTGCATCATTTATAGCATTCAAGTATTTGACTGAATTTCTGCATCACTTATATCATTCGAATGTTTAAGTGCTAAGTTATAAGCTGTTGTAAGACATATTTCATCAAATAGAAATTAAAAATCGTAAAATATTTCATTTAATTTTCCTTATCTCCATCTGAGTGGCCAAAGTGAAACACCTAAGCTTCTTTAAGTTCTATTTCGAAAAAAATACTTTTTCGGGAAAATTCGTTTTCTTATTAACTGATTTAGGCCCATAAAAATTTGTATTTAATTTCCTTCAAAATGCTATTACTTTCAGCCCACTTCAGCAATTTACCATTGTGTACTATAGCTTTTAATAACCGATGTACGTTTCTTATTTATAGACAGAAATTTTTTAACAGCGTTTGTTCTTGATGTCTGTTTCATATAGCCTTTATACTTATTTAAACACAAGAACCCTATTATAAAAAGTAAGAATAGCACATTTAATTTGCCCATGGCTAATAGGCAAAACCATTGGGATATATACCGAGTGATCAAAAAGTCAGTATAAATTTGAAAACTTAATAAATCACGGACTAATGTAGATAGAGAGGTAAAAATTGACACACATACTTAGAATAACATGGGGTTTTATTAGAAAAGCAATAATCTGATCAGAAATGCAATAATTAGCATAATAAATTAAGACAAAGCAAAGATGATGTTCTTTACAGGAAATGCTCAATATGTTCACCATCAGTTCCTCAACAATAGCTGTAGTCGAGGAATAATGTTGTGAACAGCACTGTAAAGCATGTCCGGAGTTATCGTGAGGCATTGGCGTAGGATGTTGTCTTTCGGCATCCCTAGAGATGTCGGTCGATCACGATCATGATACACTTGCGACTTCAGGTAACCTCAAAGCCAATAATCGCACGGACTGAGGTCTGGGGACCTGGGAGGCCAAGCATGACGAAAGTGGCGGCTGAGCACACGATCATCACCAAACGACGCACGCAAGAGATCTTTCACGCGTCTAGAATATGGGGTGGAGCGCCATTATGCATAAAAATCGTAACATTTTTTGAACTTTTTTTTTTGGTTCTAATAAAACCCCATGTCATTCTAAGTATGTGTGTCAATTTTTTACCTCTCTATCTACATTATTCCGTGATTTATTAAGTTTTCAAATTTATACTGACTTTTTAATCACCCGGTATATCTCGCAGCAGAGTGTTGTTTAGAGCACTTACTGTAACAAAAAATCCCGTACTTTTATCCCAGCTGCGGTTTCATTATAAACTATTCGAAATAACTTTATGCCACAGTGAACTTATCAAAGTTCAAATTCCAAACATGATTTTCTGTTGAAAAAATTTGGCTTTCCTAAAATTGTTCTAACGTGTTAATATCGCTGGTTCGAATTCTGATAAATGCAGTGAATTTTGCAGCTTCTTCGTTTTACTTTTCTTCACCTCTAACAACAAATAACTCATTCCAACATGTGAAGAAAACTTGATACTTTCATCGTAAGAGATATTTCTGACTGCGAAAATTTTTGCGGCCGAGTGGGTAATTCTAGGAGCTGGTACGGTTCATGGCGAACAGATTATCCGAGCACAATTTTTAGACTTTTTTGTGTAGACTGTGTAACTTGAATATGAATGACTTCCATAATATGCCAACTAACTATAATTTAGATGTGGCAATAGAGCTGTTGTCAGCTAGTTAACTTTCTTCTCATATCCAGATGCAGATAGCTTTCACGTGGTTTGCCGTAATGAATTAAACCATACTCATTATATTCCTGCCACATAAGCGCATTTAAAAAATTGATAAGTTTGAATGCTGCTTCATAGTTTATCGTTACTCTTACCCTATCTCATTAGTCAACTCAGGAGCCTTCAACGTTCCAAATTTCGTGAATGCAATATGTTAGGTGTTTAACACTAATTTTTATTCACAGCAACAAACAAATTTGCCATTTGTTCCAGCTGGCTTTGACATTTAATTTTCGGTTCTTTTGACATTTGAATAAATAGCGATGTCGCATTCATTTGATTCTCTTCCTTACATTTCAATTTTTCTGCAACTGTATTTTATAAAATTTCTTCAGAGAGAAGCATGTTTTTTAAACCTATTTTTATATCAGTTCATTAGAATCAAAACAAAAAAACTAAATATTTTAATATATTTTAATTTATGTCGATATCAGTATTTAGAATTTTCCGAAACGGTTTGCCCATAAAAACCATAAAAAATTATAATTTTAAACCTCCTTTTCTAATTCCTGTATTCTAAATAATTCATTTTATTTTTAAATTATAAATAATAGAAAAAAC